CTCATGCTTTCGAGGCTGTCTAATGTTATTAGATAGCTTAGATGTATCTTAGCTAGTGGAGCATGTTCCACTAGTGTTTCATTTCCCACTTCATTTCAGATTTTGTACTTGTGTCGTTTTGGCAAGTACACATTTAATGCAGCTATAAACTATTTCTTTCATTTGATGATCTTAATGTTAGATGGTTGATTATTAACATTTATGAGTTTAAGTAGAATGTATTATACGAATGTTAAATAACAAAAAGTGCAAATTTTCCGCAAAAATTAACCTAGATGAAGTAAAGATGACGTATGTAGGCTTGTCTGCGACCTCTAAGAGGTCAATGACGCTGGTCTCGTCTGGGGTCTAGATTCCGGTCGTGACAATATCCACCACCACCACCAAATCCCTTCAAATTATAATTGAGATATATATTTTATTTTTAAAAAAAATAGCTCTATCCCACCCGCATAACCCTCTATTTTCAATTTTCTTATTATTATTATTATTATTATTATTATTATTATTATTATTATTATTATTATTATTATTATTATTATTATTATTATTATTATTATTATTATTATTATTATTATACATAACTTTTTGAAATAAAAAAGATAAGTGTCAAAAACAAACTTAAGTTATTTCCTCTTTTTCATTTTCATGATTAAATTATTGAGAGTATGAGTTTCATACATAAACTATCACTTATCATTTTTGAAAAATGCACCTGCATAACGTATGTAACACACTTTCTCTTTTATTTGAAAATATCTTTTTACATAGCATTTCACACGAATAAAATATTTCACATGGACAAAAATAAATAAATTCTTAATATTAATTAAAAATTAAAGATTAAAGTATTACAAATAGCATTTAAAATATAACCCCCACCTCCCTAAGAAAATTAATAATATCTTAAAAAATAAAAAAATAAAATACGATTCAACTATGTCTAAATCCCGCTCCTAATTTATTTATATATCTTTACATTTTTCTCATTTCATGTTAGATGTGCACAGATATTTTTTAAAAATATTTCTCTAATTGCTTACCTAATATAATAGAAATAAAAAAATATTTTAAAAAATAATTTTTAAAATATATATAAACGAGAAAGAAAAACTGAAAGCAGGGGGTTATATGGGGTGGGGGTAGAATTCTTTTTTAAAATAAAATATAATAATATCTAAATTTTTATTTGAAGGGATATGGGAGTGGAGATTTTCTAAAAAAAACTTCTACAAAATAATTTTTCTAAAAGTTTGGGATGTGGGTAGGACGGTGAGAGAAAGAGGTGGAGTGACATAAGAAATATACTTTAAATTTTATGTTATAATTTTTTTAAAAATAATTAGTAATACTTTAATCTTTAACTTTTTACTACTAATAATTTATTTATTTTTTGTTAAGGTATAATGTCAAGGTATAATGTTTCTCAAACTAATGAGTGACCCTTTAGTTATGAAACTCATACTCTCAATAGTTTAGATTAGGGGTGGCGTTCGGTTCTTCGGTTCTATTCATCGGTATTCGATTTTAGAAGATCGGTTCGATTCGATTTTTTATGCTTCAGTTTGATTTAGTTTGATATTTTTAAATCAATTTTTTGATGTGAATAAAAATAAAGAGGGAATAGATAAAGTGTTAAGAGTTTCATCATATTTTTAATAAAAATAAAGAGGGCATAGATGATTTTTTAGCAAAAATATTGAAGGATTTGTTTCTGTTTCTTAGCATGGATGGCAAGTCTTGGTATTTATTATCTATAGGACATGCATGTTCATTGGATTTACTTAGTCACGAAGAGTCTTGTGATGTATACAGTTGGTTCATTTTTTTTGTTCAACGAGGATATTGAATTCAAGGTCATATAAACTTGACTAGTTTTGTTATTATGGAAGTTTATTTCAAATTTGTCTGCTTCATGTTCCTTTAAGTTACAACAACTTTGGCTGGTAATTTTCTGTTTTTTTTTCTATGGTGGCATTTTATGATTATTGTGGTCCTCACGCCCCAACCCCCTGTCTCCATAAGCATGATTCCTTAAGAGGAAAACATTTAACTATTGTCATTTAAAAGTTGAAAATTTAAATAGGCCATGTAAAATATTTTGAGTCAAAATTCAAAAATGTAGAAGTATAATTAGTTAAGCAATATAATTTAAATATTTTTAAATTTGTTAAATAAAATTTTGGTTCTTCAATGCACCGTAGTTTCGGTTCCCTTGCACCGAACTCCAAATCGAAGAACCAAAGTTTCAAAAAAAATCAACATCGAACCGAAACACCGAAGAACCGACACCCAAAAATTGAAATTTTTCAATTTGATTTTATTTTTCCTTATTTATGCACACCCCTAGTTCAGATATGAGACTCTAGAAAAAAGAATAATTTATGTGCGTTTCCTTTATCTTTTTTTTAATGCTACATGGTGAGGTATTTATCTTTTTTGTTACCAATTTTAGTATAATAATGTATAATATATAAAATATTATACTAAAAGTGGGAACAAAAAAAACTGAATGATGAAATATCATTTTTCCCCTACACTAGATTAAAATATCATAAATATTTAGTTAATAACATATTTAAATACTAGTGATAATCAATTATTACATTGAGCAAATAGAGAATTCATGTGTTCAGAGGAGGATTGTTTACTCTTCCATATTTTAATGGTGGTTCATTCCATATATTTAGTATTCTTAAAGTTGTTCTCTCTTATCTATTTTGATCCTTTGAAACCTTCAGATTGTGTTTAATTTAAAACATTAAGATATCTTTTGGTATTCCTCTATTTTAATCTATATAAATTCATTTTTTTATTTCATGAAACTCACATCCAAAACTATCCTTTTCATTTTATAGTTAAAGTAGTGAAGACATCAACATATAAAGTATATGATATATCTACCTTAAACTGATTATACATCACTTTACGAAAATCCAGTGATTTTTCTATTTTATTCATGTTTTAATTTGACTCGATAAAGAAGACTTTTGAATTTTGATTGGATATGAAAGAAGGTGTCGACGAAAACTTGAAATATTTTTTTCCAATTTGTGTTTCTGTTATTTGTAGTATTGATGGTGTAATAAACTCAGGGGCCTTGTGAATGTACCCGGTTCTCAACTTAAATAGTTCGTTGACTGCCAAGTGGAGAAGGTACAGAAAGTTGGTGCATAGTTTCCAACTGCGTCAGAAACGTCAGACCTTCCCAACCAATGGCAGGGGTTTAACGAAAGTGACTTGTCTATACAATGTCATCTTTCCACACATTGCTCTTGAGTTTTTGCAACTTGAAAAAGCACATTCAAGAACTCTTGCAAAGGCTTAAGAAAATCAAGGAGAAGAATCATTCAAGAACAACCTAAACTCAGGCGTATATTGTGTAGTTGTTTGAGAATATATTCTTTCGATTTTATATTGTAAACTGATCCTAAACCTATAAAGGAATCAGTGTGGTTTGATTTGAAATTCTAAGTTAGTTAGTTGAACTAATGTAGTGGGTAACCGTTGTGCTGCTTAGAAAATTCTAAGTTGTCTAGAGTGATAGCTTAGTGAGTAGAATAACATCTACTTAGGCTCATCAAGCAATAGAGTTATTGCTTGTTGGTGAGATTAAAAACTTTTTCTCACATTTGTGTAACCGGTTAACTTTTTCTTGTGAAGATTAGTGAAACAGTTATGAAAATCTTGTGAGACAGATCGTGGTTTTACTCCCTTGAGCAAGGAGGTTTCCACGTAAAACTCCTCCGTTGTTAAATAGTATTTACTTTCTATTGTATCCTTATTTGTGTGTCAAAGGACCTGGTCTATTGACTGATAGTGGACGCACAGATTCTAACAAGTGGTATCAGAGCAGATACTCTCTATCTGGTTAACACCAAGAGAATTGATTCATGTTCTAGAATGGTTGCTCCACTTAATCTGGAAGAGGGTTAGTCTTCAACTAGACCCCCTCGTTTAAATGTCCATTTTTATAGTTGGTGGAAAGTGAGAATGCATGACTTCCTTATGATTGAAGACAGTGAACTATGGGACGTTGTCTTAGATGGACCCTTTGTCCCTATGATTGAAGAGAAAGATGGTTAAAACACTAGGCTTGTTCCAAAGCCTAGATGAAAATATGATGAAGCTGATAGGAAGAAGATTGAAAAGGGGTACAAAGCAAAGAAACTTCTTCTATGTGGTATAGAACCTGAATCTGCAAAAGAGATCTATGATTGCTTAAAAATAGCCCATGAGGGAACTGAACAAGTAAAAGAATCAAAGATTGATATGCTCACATCTCACTATGAAAATTTCAAACTGAGATAAGGTGAAACTATTCATGCAATGTTCACTACACTGTCATCCATCACAAATGAGTTGAGAAGTCTTGGAGAACCTATCAGTATGAGTAAGCAAGTTAGGAAAGTGCTTCAAATCCTTCCCAAGGTTTGGGAAAGTAAGATTGATGCTATTACTGAAGCAAAGGACCTGAAAGTGTTAACAATGGATGCTCTCATTGGAAATCTAAAGACTCATGTGATAAATCGAAGTCATGATCAGTCATAGAAGAAATTTAAGAAAGATAAGTCCTTGATGCTGAAATACAGATCAGAAGAGGACTCCAGTTATGATGCTGATATGGGTTACCTTATCAAGAGATTTCAGAAGATTGTGAGGAAAAACAATGGTTTTAGAAAGGGAGCAAATGTTCCTCGAACTGCCACTCAAAATGATACTTGTTATATGTGTGGAAAAAATGGACACTCTATAAGAGAGTTCCCACTACTCAAAGCTGAAAACAAAGAACATCAAAAAGTAAGAGGTGATAAAGAAAAGCGAAGGAATCTGGTACTCAATAAGAATGATCGTAAAGCTGTTGCTGACTATGTGGTCAGGAAAGCTCTTGCTGCATGGGGAGACTCTTGAAGTGACTCGGAAGATCTTGATGAACCAAATTATGTGTCAATAGTGGTGGTTCATGAAGAGGAAACCATATTAATGAGATGTTTGCTTTCATGGCTCATTCAGAAAATGAAGATGATGAGGATAAGGTAACTCTTCTTGATATGAAACATGATTTGAATACCTATTCTCTTAAAAAATTGAGAACATTAGCAAATGTTATGATTGATTCAGTTATTAAGTTAACTTCTGAAAGAGATATTATGAATGTTGAGCTTGAAAGTTTAAATGAAAATAGAGATAAAATGGATGACAAAATGTTGAAAATTGAAGATAAAATGGTTGTTCTGGAATCTGAAAAAAATAGAACTTAAAAAACAGTTGCATCTGATAAATGACAAAGCTGAAAAGCAAAAAGGAAAGTCTAATGGTTTACAAGTTGAGCTTGAAGAAAAATTGAAAACCTCTGAGACTAATCTTGGTTTGGCTTTGGAAAGGAGCAACAGCTCAGAAAAAGATATTGTCAAACTTAAAGATGAACTTGAAAAATCTCTTCAGTGGACAAAATCTTCTAAGCTGCTTTTAAACGTCACAAATCAAAGTAATTTCAACAAGAAGGGTCTAGGAAGTTCGAATATTACTCCTCCTTTCAATCCTCACAACAAATATGTATTTGTGTCTGACAATTTGTTGTGCCTTCATTGTGGTAAAAATGGGCATTTAATAGAAGAGTGTACTTCCTGGAGAAAGTCATATGAAAGACTTTCAAAGTATACAGAAAAGCAAAGGGTTTTAAAAGAGAGACCTGGTCCCACAAAAAAATTCTCAACCAAAAGGTTTTCAAAGAAAGGAAGTGATTCTTCTCAAAAATCCTTTGTCAAAAGGAATCTCAAACTACCTCATTGGGCTAGAAACACTTTGATCACTCCTTTGTTTGCTTTCTAGGAACTCCAATTGAAATGGCTTCCCAAGCCTAACAAGTGATTCTTGTTGCAGGTGAGTGAGAGAAGCAGCAGTCAATGTTGGTACATGGATAGTAGATGCTCTAAACATATGATTGTTGATATCAAAAATTTCCTCTCAGTCAAGGCACTTCAGGGAGGAGGTGTCTCTTTTGGTGATGGAAAGAAGGGGTATGTTTTAGGTGTTAGTAAAGTGGGAAAATCGCTTGGGGAATCAATTGACAACGTGTATCATGTCAATGGGTTGAAGTATAGTCATTAGAGTGTGCCTCAAATTTGTGACAAGGGAAATAAAGTGAAGTTTACTTTTGCGATGTGCACTGTAGTTAATCTAACTACAAAGAAAGTGATTCCTATTGCTCATAAAAGTAAAAACATGTGTGTGGCTAACTTAGAAACATCTCATGGATATAATCTGACATGTCTTAGTTCTCAAAATGAAAATGTTGATCTGTGGCATCGAAGACTGGGGCATGTGGGTTTATCTTTAATGAATAAACTAATTTATAAGGACTTGGTCCTGGGTCTGCCAAAGTTGAAATTTTGTGAAAGTAAAATTTGTAAACCTGTATCAAAGGAAAACAAATCAGAGCCAAAGAAGCAAGTAACCTCATCAAGAGTATTGGAGATGCTACATATGGATTTATGTGGACCTTTGAAGGTTCAAAGTAGAAGTGGAAAGAAATACATTTTGGTGACAGTTGATGACTACTCAAGGTACACATGAACAAGGTTCTTAAGATCAAAAGCAGAAACACCAGAAGAATTGATAGTGTTTTTCAAAATGATTCAAACAAAGTTGAATCAAGTAATTGCTGGAATTAGGCCTGATCATGGAACTGAGTTTGAAAACTCAAAAAATTGATCAATTCTGTATGAAAAATGGCACTAGTCACAATTTTTCTGCTCCAAGAACTCCCCAGCAAAATGGAGTAGTGGAAAGGAAAAACAGAACCTAGATAAATATTGCAAGGACCATGATTATTGAGTCAAATCTTCCACAAAGTTTTTGGGCTGAAGCAATCAACACAGCATGTCATGTTAATAACAGATGTTTGATAAGGTCTTTACTGAATAAAACTCCCTATGAATTACTCAACAACAGAAAACCTATGTTGAGCTACCTTAGGGCATTTGGATGCAAATGTTGAACAATAGAAAAGATGAACTAGGAAAGTTTGATCCTAGAAGTGATAGAGTGTTTGTAGGATATTCTTCATCAAGTAAAGCATACAGAGTTTTCAACAAGAGAACTCAATGTATTGAAGAAAGTACTCATATTGTGTTTGATGCAGATGGAAATCTGAAAGGTGCTGCATCAAATGATGAAGATGAGTTAATTGAGCTGTTTAATTCTCAGAAAATTGGAGGGAGTGAAGAAGATGTAAATAACCAGTTGGGGATTGAGAATACTGATCAAAGCTCATCTGAAAAGGCTGATGAAGTCGAAAAATGTGAAGAGGAACCTGGTACCATTCTGAACTCAAGTCAGAATATCTCAAACTCCCCAGAAGAGACCAGGATGGAAACACAGCTCATCACATCCACTTGATAATTTCATCTCACCTCTGAACTCTAGAATTCACACTAGATCAAAAACAAGAAATCTAGTTGCATCCTTAATATACCGTGGCTTCACGGTACTTTTAATACATTTTCCTTAAGTTTAGTGTGTCCGAAAGCCTTTTTGTACTAATTTTTATGTAAGTTTCTTTTTATTTGCAGGAAATCTGTCTAAAAGATGAATGTGGAGGTTTTTGAGCAAGAAATGCATAAAAGTACCACCTATGGAGCTTGTGACGGTCCATCGTACCCGTGACAGTCCGTAGATGGTATCGTAGTGTAGCTGTTGAAGGAAAATGGGGACGTCTGACCAAGTGTGGGGTTACGGAATGCGTGACGGACCGTCGTAGCCATGACGATCCGCCCTGCTGGTTCATCATGAAGATCAGAGAAGTAGTCCAAGTACCCAAATTCCAAGAGTTCAAGTGTGATGGAATGGAGACCCCTAACGGACCGTTGTGCCTGTGACGATACGGCATACCTGCCGTCGAGGGTAATAAAGAGAGCAGCAGAAGAAATTGTATAAGTATGGGACGACGGAGTCCATGACAGCCCGTCATGACCACGATGATCCGTCGCGAGGTCTGTCGACCCAGCCGCATTTTGACAGATTTCCAGCAAATAGAGTCCTTATTTAATTAGATTTTTATTTTTTATAAATAGTTTGAAAACCCTCGTTTTTGGGGCTAGACTCTTGATTATTAGACTCTCTTATAGTTAGACTCTTGGTTATTTGAGCTTCTTTTGTAAATTAGACTTTGTGATTATTATTACACTTTTGGAGAATCTTTAGTCTTCAATTAATTTCAGTAATTGATTGTTGGTGATTTTTGTTGATTAATCAAGTGAACTTCTGCATTTTATTATTTCTCATTGAAGTAAGTGCATGAATTCTTACATTACATATTTGAATATTGTGATTATGACTATGGGTAACTAAACTCCATAACTAGGGTTGTGGGAACCATAGGCGAATAATGAGGTAAAACCTAACTAAAATAACCATTCTAGAATAGCGTCTTGCACGTATTGATAATTTTTTCGCTTAGAAGTCTTTTTAACGGATGGCCAACGTTAGAACTCGCCTTAATGCTACTTGCCGGACCAAGGAGGTACATAATTGGAAAAGAATTATCAACATAGATTTAGTGAATACTATCTAATAGGCTAGTATTGATTGGTACGAGGTAAGAACTTAGTCAAATATCGAATATGATGCTTAATATGAGGTAAAGGTAAGGGTTAGTATAGAAACACATGTAGCCGGACTAAGGTGCAGAGTGAACTTTTCTAGATGCCGGACCAAGGATTATTCTGCATGCAAGATAATAGAAAAGAATTGTTATAGTTAGAATTATCAAATTAGAAATATGTGTGGAACACGTAAACTCTAGTTACTTTAATTAATTGATTAAACTCTAACATTTGAAGCTGTTAGTTGTCTCCTTTAATTAAGATAGTCATTTTCATTCATTTAGAAGTAAAAAAAACCTTTTATTGTCTTTTCTTTCCAAAGAAATAATTGACGTAATAGTAGTTATAATGGATTGAAGTTAAGTCTAAACTATTTTCCTTGTGGGAACGATCCCAACCTCATTAGTTGGGTTCTTTACTTGATACGACCGTTTTACTTCTTATTTGAGAAGTAAGTTTGAGCGTACGAAATTTCGGTGCCGCTGCCGGGGAAAGTAGCTTTTAGATTAACTTAAACTTATTACTATAGTTTAGTCAATATTTTCTTGATTCTAGTTTGTTTTATTGTTTTTGATTATTGCAGAACCATCTTTCTTGTATGCCAAATACACAAAGAGAAAGAGAACCCTTGTTTTCCTATGATCACGAATTAGAGCGTACACTATGCAACATAAATCGAAACTTGGAAATTAATGACGATAATCCAAACAACAACATCCTAGATCCGGTTGATGTTCATGGTAAGTTGTTACCCAATGCTCCATTAGAAAAACCAACAGAGGGTACAAAATCCTACTCCACAGCCCCAAGAATACTACAGAGGCTATGACAATATAGTAGACTCCGGTGGGCCGCTTGTCTTTCCCCCTCTACCACCAGGCCACACCTTTGTGGTAACTAGTAACCTGATGCAAATGCTCACTGCTAGAGGTTTGTTTTCAGGGCGACCTTCTAAGGATCCACATGCCCATATAGCTAAGGTAAGGGCAGTGTGTAAAAGCTGTGTAGGGAGGCTTGACTTGGACTTGGATGTAATAGGGCTAAGAGTGTTTCCTCTCTCACTGACGGGGGTGGCTGCTATTTGGTTCACTGAGCTCCCTTACAACTCAATTTTCACTTGGAACCAACTAAGGGATGTTTTCTTAGCACGCTACTACCCGGTCTCCAAGAAACTAAACCACAAAGAGAGAGTGAACAACTTTGTGGCACTACCAGGAGAGTTAGTTAGTAGTTCTTGGGATAGATTCACCTCGTCTTTTAGAACCGTCCCCAATCACTGCATAAATGATGAGTCACTGAAGGAATACTTCTATCGGGGACAGGATGATAATAATAAAGTGGTGTTGGAAACTATAGTGGGTGGTTCTTATGGGGAGTGTCCTTATGCTGAGATTGCTGAAAAGTTAGAGAAAATCTCCCGAAATAATAAAGCTTGGAGTACTAGCAATCCACTCACAACCCAGCCACAGATGATATTCGTGAAGAGATAGCTCAAATGAGAACCAAGCTTGGGTTGGTATTAAAACATATCACTGGGGGTGCTGAAAAGATAAATGCAGTTACCTACTTGTCTAAACCACCTCTCCCAAATGATGAATGCTATTATGCGGAGGATTCCTATGCAGTAAATGAGCAGACGAGGGGTTTCCGACCGAGTGCCCAAGGCTCAAATCAGGATAATTGGCGCCAAGGTCAAGGAAACCAAGGTCGGATCTATGGTAACTATAACCGTGAGGGTCATTATGTCCGAGATGGAAACTACAACCGCGATAACAACTTCAACAGGAGTAACTATGGTAACAGAAATTATAGAAATGGGCCCTATGTCCCTCCCAAAATCGTGAAGTTACTCCTAGGGATGGTGGAGATAGTATGGTGCGAGTTGAGGATATGTTACACAAAATAATGAGATGGTTCGATGCTAATGATAAGAACATTAAAGAGTTAAGGAGTGATTTAGTGGGTATTGGGCAGAAAGTTGATACACATGCAAAATCAATTAAGCAGATCGAGTTGCAAATGGCCCAATTATCTGCGACTGTGAACACGCGGCAACCGGGCACTCTTCCTAGCAACACTGTCCAAAATCCGAAAAATGATGCACACTGTAGGGCAATTCACTACTCGGGGTGGTAAGCAACCCATTGACTCACCTATGTCGTCTAATGACGAAATGGTGAGAAAGGATAATGATAAGGTGGTAGATGGTAGTGGTGAAGCAGAAGATAACACTAGAAAAGATGCAGAAGTCCCTATAAAGGTAATCCCATGCCTAGACCACCACCACCCTTTCCTCAGAGATTAGTGAAAAAGACCAAGGATGGTAAATATTGGTGTTTTATAACAATCTAGAAGCAGTTTTCTTTCAATGTCCCTTTGGTAGAAGCTTTAGAACAAATGTCCGGTTATGTCAAATTTATTAAAAATCTGGTTACAAAGAAAATATCGGTCACTTTCGAGGATGATGATAGAATGCAGCATTGTAGTGCTATTGCTACAAGATCT